GACTGGAGGCTCTGAGGTGCTTTCTGAGCCCTTTCCGACCAGGAACCCAGGGACACCCAGTCCAACAAGGGACAAGAGGAGCAGACTGGGCTGGGAGGTTAGCACCAGGGTTTCTGGACATTAAGAATCAGCAAAACTGCACAAACCAGCACCATGGTTAGATGGAGCCTGTACACCAACACGCTTCCACAAAAGACAGGTTAACAAAAAAGGAGTGTTCAGTGCTCTGAAGAGGCCACAAGGCAGACCCCTCCCAGCCTGCAGAGTGCTGGGAACTCTGAAACTTGATATTCCACCCCTGCTCCATTCTACCCTGGGGAACAAGTAGTAAGAGGTCACAAATTACAGAAAAATACAAAACCATCTAGGAAGGGAAGGAGTAGGTTGGTTGTGGAGGTATACAGGTATGCTATACCAAGGCCATATATTCCTTTACCATATACTAGTTTAAATAGATTGTAAGTATTCCAAAATATCTATAGGTCAAATGGAAAATGAAATACAAAACATATTCAAATCTTGTATTTAAAAATATTCTTCAGTGAATTTCATTTTTTAATATATACATATATGCATGAGACCGAAAATATATATCCAGTGCTATTTCTCCATGCTAAAAGAGGATTTTTAAAATATGTAACATAACAATTATTTATTTTAATTTTCTTCACACTTCTCTGTATTTTTCTACAAAGAGCATGCTTTCTTGCAATCTAGAAAATGGTTCTGAGGTCAGAACTGACAAGGCTGAGGCCGATGCAGAGGGCGAGGTGTTGTCCAGGCCACCTCTGCCCTGCCTTCCAGCCAAGTGGCCCCGCTTAAGATGCGAGTCCCTGAAATACCAAGGCAGGTTTTGAAGGAGGTGAAGTGTCCTTCACCCTCACAAGCTCAATCTACTACAAAATGAAGTTCCCCTTGGGAATCTCAGTACAGAAGTCATAATTTCCATGGCCAATCAACCTGAGAGAAAGTGGGGGGAGGGGTGAGAGACTCTAGGGGACCCCTTGGCCTACTGATAAGGAACCATTTTCCCCAGTCACCCCCCACCTGGGTCGAGGACAGGCACAGCAGAGATCCTGGGGACTTCGGCAACCTGGATTTTTCTAGCCAAGCTCTTGGGTTATGATTTAAACTGTAGAAGAATGGACAGAAAGCAGCATTCGGGGGCTGGAAGCCTGGTTCAAGTGGTAGAACACCTGCTTTGCAAGTGTGAAGCCTTGAGTCAAGCCCCAGTCCCACCAAAAAAAGAAAAAAAAATTAGCATTCAAAGAAATAGTGACTTGAGAATGCAATGGTCAACTCTACAAGGGTGAACAGCTTTAATTTCAACACTATTGATCAATGAGCTACATGTGGATATTGACTGGGAATGTGAAGATGGGTTAAATGAATGTGGCTATGTATCGAACCCTCAGACTGTGCTTCTTGTACACAGCCTGGTACCAACCACCATGACCTCACCACATGCCTTCACAGTCTCAAGTGCTGCCTGTTCTGTAACTGGTTTAGATGCACAGCTCCCTGAAAATTCAATATTTTTCCTTGGACAAGTTGGAGACTTGTCTCACTCGTGGCTAAGAGCACCAGCATTAGGCTGTGGGTGACCCCATGATTAGGTCTGCCCTCAGCTTTCTCTTCCTCCCCATAGAAAGGCCATCGTGTGCCCCCTGGTGGGGCTAGGGTGGGGATCAGATGCAATGCACGTAAGGTGCTCAGCACAGAGCCTGGCACATTGGAAGCCCAAGTGTTTGCTGTATCATTTCACAAATGTTTTACTGTCACAGTGAAGGGAACTTAAGAATCAAGAGCCTGGCACAAACGCCCTGAAGGAAATTGGGTTCCATTTTATTTCTAATTAAATTTAGAGCCCAACTCTTGAGGTTCTGGGGAGATGAACTGAGAATGAAGACCACAACTGCCCTCCAAGGCAGCCACTTCTGCCCCTAACTTCTCAGAGATTATACTTTTTAAAAAAACATTTAAGGCCAGGTGTGCTGCAGACACCAGCATACTTAAAAACTGCAAATTATCAACTTCACAGAAGACCCCAAAGATATGACTGAAGGTAAATTTGTGGATCTAAAATATATTTCTTCTGGAAGCAACAAAATGAATCACAGTGCAGAGGCATGCCACAGAAATGGGAAAACAAAGGCCCAGGTTTCCATTAGCAACAAGGAAAACCACTCTGGACTTGGTCTTTTCCACTGCCCACCTGACAAGCTGTCAGCAATACATCACAGAGGAATAACCACACCCCTCCACTGCCCAAAAACTACAGACAGTGACTCCTTCATACCCAAGCAAAGTGTGAAGGTCCCCGAGAGAGAACTGCAGCCTCCTACTCTGAGGGATCTGAGAAGAGAGTGAGAGGCCCATCCAGCCCCGTGAAAGCATCTCAGGCACCAAGGTGACTTAGTGGTCCTGCCATGGACCACCTCCCAAAAGAGAAAACAGCCCTAGCTACACTCAGCAGCAGAGCTGATCTCATGGTGGAAAGCCAAAAAAAAAGCCTGCAGAGCACAGAGTGCACATAAATGTTACGTATTGATTCACGTGCATCGGGTGTCTAACACCAGGAGTCCTGAACGGACTGGCCCACAATTAGTCAGCTGCATTTCACTAGTTTTGAGAGTACAGACAACAGCACTCGGGAGTGCTAAGGCAGGAAGATCTTAGGAGTTCAAGACCGGCCTGGGCAACAGGGCAAGACCCTTGTCTCAAAAAACCAAAAGGAGAATGATAGCTCAAGCACTCACTATGAAATTGGATTCCCAGAACCTGCAATTTTACAGTTCTCACTATGGCCTACCGAAGCCATGTAGGTGTGCAGGACTTCTGCCTAAAGAACCTCTCTGACAGCCTCGACTTGCCTGGTGCGTTAGTCTGCACCCCTTGTTCTCAGAACGTGGGTGTTAGTAAGATGACCTTGAAATCGAAGAATCCTTTAGCCAAAGTTTGACTTCTGTACACTTTCCCATCAACGTGCACTGTACAGAAACACAGCACAGATGAACAGAACTCATGGGTAAAGGAAGGGGACTCTTCTGCTGGGTCCAAAACCAACCAAAGCACCATAATGCACAGCTACTCCAAACATCACTCCATAGACATCTGCTAAGAGATGGAACAAGGTACACTGGGGCTACAGAAATGTCCCATTCCCCTGGACACCAAGGAAGCAAGGGTCTTGGGGCTTCCCGCTTGCTAGGCAGTCATGCTACTGCTTGAGCCCCACCCCCATCCCTGTAACACATTCTTAAATGACATAATTAAGAGATGGAGAACACACTAGTGGTCGCCAGGCTCAGGACTGGGAAGGGGGCAGACAAGCTAAGTCCAGAAGCTTCTTGGAGCTGTGGCTTAGGAACCAGTTGGCCCCATATATACATGTGCAGTAGGGGCTACCCTAGCCACCTGTAAGAGGTTGTGGCTACAAAATGACAACAGGGTGACTCTTGGGGTGGTGCACATAGGCCCCTACACATGGGCTAATACTGTGTAACTAAGTACTCCCCCACACCCGTGCACACGTTACTCTGGAGAAATCTGAACACATCAATGCCAGTTTCCAGGCTGTTACAGTTACCACAGTTCTGTGGATGTTACAGTCAGGAGGGAAGAAAAGGCTACCTGTGATCTCAGCTCTCTCTTATACCTGCTGTATGTGAATCTATGTTTACTTCAAATCAGGAACTTTAACTTCAGGAAATAACAAGTAGGTTTGTCCTGTGTTCTCAGTTTGTTTGTGCAGTTTACCATGTGGTAACCAGTAAGTCACTAGCAATTCCTTTCTCTGACAGATGAGTACTTACAAGGAGCCATGTGACAGCGTCCTGTTAACACTGTTGGACTGGGGTTGCTGCCCTCTGGCTCCTGGGTCCAGAGAACTCACAGCTCCTGAACCCTGACCTTCTCCCACCAGTGCTGGCAAAGACACTGCGATGTCAGTGCTTTCTCGGGGACAGGCAGGTATGGCTGGCCTGCAGTCTCCCTGCTGCTGCCAGCCGTCCAGGGCTCCCCAGGCCCCACCCCAACAGAGGGCGCCTTCTCTGCAGAGGAGCCTGGAGAGGGAGAAAACCAGCCCTGGGGCAGCTCCTTGCTGGACCAGTGGGCCACTGAAGAAACTCCAGGACTCCTGACCCAGCCTGAACAGACACTATAGGCAGCAGGCTAGAACAGGCCACCGCCATCTCGGCTGGCACAGTTGTACTCGGAGCTGGCCAGCTTGCTTAAAGAAAATTCTGGAGCTGGAGTGTCCTAGCTGATTGCCAGGGTCCGGAGAGCCACGTGTCGAGAGCAGACCCACAACTCTGGCCCTGCCTCTCCAGCAGCTGGGGGACCTGGCTGACGCCTCACACTGCACATCAGCCTTTCGTCTCAGGCGAAAGGTCTTCTGTGGTGTGGCACAGTGTCTGCCTCCCAGGTCCTCTGTTGCCTGCCATTTAAGGGGAGCTGGCACACTGCTGCCAGCACTCTCAGTAACCCCCCCAGTCAGAGAATCTGACAGAAGAAAACTACAGAAGCACCCTCGCTGTTTCTGCCTTTACTGTCTCCAGGCTTACACATCCTCCAATTCATCCAACCAGGGTGTAGCCTTACTATCTCCCAGCAACAATAAAGAAGCACCTCCCTCCCCGAAAGGCTTCATGCCCTGTACGAATGGAAAACAGTTCAATAATAATACTATTTTTCAGATTCTACAAACCCTAAATGACCATTTGCGGCAAGAACCAGACCACTTTCAAGCCACCAACACTGCTCAGCTTCCAAGCTGATAGGGAAAAAAATAAATAAATAAAATAACCAGCGAATCTTCCACACGAATAAAAATTACATTCTACATAAATTAAATATAATTTGATTAAACATGTTTATGTCTTTGTGATGACATTTAAAATAGAAGTAATCATTTTCTTTTTTGAAAGAAAAACTCTTTCAAATATAATTTGAAGCTGTCAAACCAATCTTCTACTACAGATCTGTTAAATGTCACATACCTTTAAAAAGGGATGGCAGTTTCCTTTTAAATATGCAATTCCAAACAGTGAGTTCTGAATCAAGAATGTATTAAACTACACGGCTGGCATTTACCCCGATTTAAGCAGCGCCCTTTCCCCTACTCCCTCCCGGGGGACTAGCTCAGAAGCAAGTGCAGCACAGGCTCAGGCGCTTCTCCCCCTAGGACAGTGGCGCTCTAGGTCAGCTCATCTGCTCTGGCTGCAACCACAGGACTCAACACCAAGTCCTGCTCCTAACACCTTAAGGGGGCAAAGGTATTTTCTGCTGATTCTACCAGTTTCCCTCCCAGATGGCTGACTGAACCCTGTGTAACCCAATTTTGGCATAGCATCAACGGCCCAATTCTAAGACAGTGTTAATCAGATGCAAGAAAACTCCAAACTCACATTCTCATAAGTCAATGACCTACATATTCAATTGCTTATTCGCCATCTCAGAAGCAAACACCGAGCTATATTTAAACCCAGAGCACAGATATATCTTTCTTCTAAAACGCTCAGAGAGGCAGATAAGCCTCACCGTCCAGCATGCCTCCTCTTCTCAACCTAAGGAGAGCAAATCTTGTGTTTGGGGAGCTCTGAACAGAAGTGCATGCTCTAATGCTCTAATAAGAAGGTGCATGAGAGCTTCTTTGTATCCGCAGCAAACGCAGTGACATTCTCCTAGAACTTCAGCCAAGTGAACTTCACTGCTCCCTCCCCAGCATGGGGCCCAGAGTAAGTGCTCAGGGAAAAAAAGAGACCAAATGACTTCACCTCAGTTAAGCATAGGAGGCAAGCATGTCCCACATTTCGTATTCAAAAGTGAGTCAAGACAGAGATAGGATGTGAACGCTTTCCAGCTGCTGTCCCTGGGACATAGGGAGCACCATCTGAAAAGTCTTCAGCCAGCAGAGTCTGGTCTAAGAGAAGGAGCCACAGCCTGGGCTCCGGCCACTGTCCATGTCTTGGCATTTCACCCACACCGATGGAGTTAAGTGTGGACAAGTCAGCTCCCCCATCAGATGTTGAAGGTTGATACTAAGCCTCAGGGCAGTGTCTACAGAACCAAGCAAAGGCTACAGCCCAATCCAGCCCCAAACCCAAGCAGACACCTTCCACCCGGGAAGGGGCAGCTGTTCTGGGGTCAGGGAGGTGGAGTGTGCTGGACTTCACTCTGCACACCTCCAGTCTACACCATGCAGGCTGCAGTGCAAGTGGCGGCCTGAGAAGTGGCTACATGGGGTTATTTCCAACAAAGCCGGGGACTCTGAAATTAGGAAATCTTGTCTGCAGGTGCTGGGTAACAACAGGCAAGTCACTCAGCCACTCACAACTGGAGCTAACTGCCCACCGGCACAGGAGAGGAGTCACCTCCAAGGCACCAGGATTCCCTTATTCAAGATCTAATTCCATTTAAAAATAGGCAGTCAGGAAATTTAACCAAACCTGATTCTCAAAGGTCATGGAGGCCTGAAAGAAATCCAGAGTTTAGAAAAAGAAGAAAGGAGAGCCTTCTCTTATTTGGGCAAATTCCCTTCCTTGGATGGCAAACTCTGCTCCCTGGCACAGATGGGAAAGCCAAAAAACACTGTCCATGAGGCCAGATCTCACAGGCTGGTGTGGCTAATCAGGATGCAGACAGAAAGCCACAGATGAACCAAAATACATAGCAGGGCAAAGACCCATCAATCTGAAAGCAGTGCATGGAGACCAGCCCGTGCTTGCTCCTACCGCCCTGCCCAGGCCTTGCAGAAGTGATCCTCTCCTCCTCTGTCTTCAGTTGCGCTCTGCTGTCAGGTGACTCTAATTGCCTACCCGCGGTGTACACCACATAGCACATGAACACATGTGCAAACTCACGCACAGAGGTCTTCAACTTGGGATGCTTCTACCTTACAACGGTGCAGAGGTGACACACATTGAACAGAAACAGTACTTCTTCTTCCAGGGCTCAATTTTGACCTTTATTCCAGGCAACTGATAGCTTGGTACTGCCTTTCTTGTGATACTGGGCAGGGCTGTAGGTTTTAGCTCCCAGACAGCGGCAGCTGAGATAGCTAGACTTTTAGGAGAATGGAGCTGCATCAACTGAACTTGTCCTCAGAGTGTTTTAAATCTTATCTCAAATCAAGTGACACTCCTAAAAGCACCCCTCACAGGATGGCCTCCCCAAAGCGTCTCTCACCATTGTGCTGCTTTCTCTGGTAGTTCCAAGCACAAGGAGCGGCTGTGGGAAACAAGCCTGGCATCTGTTAAGATCACGTCTATGCAGAGCACTTCGAAAGCATCTCCATCCCTCTAAACAGTGCCCCGTGGCAAGGCATTTCTTTTTGGAACCAGCCCAAGGTGCACCGGCTGCCCTAAGCTCAGAGAGCTGCCCTGCTTAAGAGAGTTTTGTTGACAGCACTGTCTTGAAATTTGCAGTTGTTTTATTTGCATTTTTTAAAGTCAACTCTGGTCCTCTCTCCCCCATCTTATCCCCTCATAGCATCATTTTTCTTTTAGTCTCCTAAGTACTTTCTAGAAAGAGGAAGGTTATAAAAGAGTAAAATGGAATCCACTCAAGGCCTGTCTAGAAGCCCTATAAAACATGCCTCTGAAAGTTAACAGCCTAGAGAGGCCAGGGGCATCAAGGTCAAGGCGGTGACTGGGTCCCTGACCCAGCTCATAGTGGAGCTGCTCTGGCAACACCACCCAGAGCATCTACTTACCCAGTGTCCTCCTGCCTCTGAAGCAAACTAGGAAAGCATGTGTTACCACATGGTCATCAGCAAGCTCCAAAAAAAAGGTGGACACAGATATTAACTCGAACCAAGATCACACAGGAACCAAAGGTCAGGGGACCCTCACTCTTTGACTTATTTGTGTGGGTCTTCATGGGAAAGAAAAGCAGGGATTTTGCAGGGAAGAGGCAGCAGGAGAAAGGAGAGGCGGAGGTGGGGGAACAGGAATCAAAAATCATTCTGAAAACCAGGAAAAATGAGAGAAGAGAGAGAGACCCTCTATATAAAGACAGCATGGTTACATTTTCCAGAGCAGGTAACTCCATAGCCTACCTCTGGCAGAGGACCTACAGACCGTGTATCCATCTTGTTAGCAGAAGACCAAAGAGGAAGGGAGCATGCCCACACTCTCCCACGCCACTGCACCACCCAAGCAGAAAGACTACATTCTGATTTAAGTGGTTTAGAAAATAGAAAAACTAGCTCCAACTTCTATGTGTGACTGGTAGACACAACACACTTTATAAGACTAAACATACATCTACTCCACAACCCAGCAATTCCATTCATAGGGATGTAAACATCCACAAAAAGAGCTACAGCAATGGTTCATAGCAACTTTATTCAAAATAGTCAAAAGCTGCAAACAGCCCAAGGCCTATCAACAGGTGAATGAGTCAAGAGACTTTGTGGATTCATTTGATGCAATTACTCAGAGGTACAGAGGAACAAGCAGCCTACATAGGCCAAAACGTGTTTAAATCTCAAAAACATTGTGTTAATTGAAAAAGCTTTAGGCAAAAAGGCATACTATGTGCATACTATATGTAAATGTATTTTATACACTATTACATAAAATTCTAACAGGTAACTCTAAACATGTTAGGAAAACAAGTTATTCAAGGAGACTCAGGCAGGTAGGATAGGGGACAGCCTGGACGAGGGAACTTTCTAGAGTGATGGGAAGCCCCCTGTACAAGTGTATGCACCTGATTAACTGATTGACTAACTGATTGATTGATTGATTGATTAATGCCCTGCAGACCATGCATTTCATGTTGTCTCTGTCACTTCCAGGCCAATCCCTACTCCAGCCCACCAACACAGCCCCTAAGTTCTACCTCAAAGGAAAAACCACAAAAAAGAACCTGAACCAAGTTGACCTCAGGTAATGATATGCTTGCTGAAGGATTCCGAGTGAAGCTGAGGTCTGAAATGCACCCACGCAATGCTGGACCAGTGGGCAGAGCTGGAGAGCCCAGTGTTAGTGGGAGAGTCCAGACTGGGTGCAGGCGTGCTCACTGTACATCACGGCCACCCTTCCGGCTTTCATAGCCAGAGGCTGAAATGATAGAAAGACAACCTTCCCAGAGACAACTTGCCCCCTCAGCCGGAGAATCTGTTACTTCATTAATTCACAGAAGGCCTGTTTCCAGAATGAGGAGCACAGAAACACCCATGAGGACCAAGCACCCGCCAAAGCCTGCCAACAGCACAGTACAAAGCAACACGCTATCCATGAACAGATCTGTGACTTCAGGCAGCCCAGGACACATTCAGGGTTGTTTGTGTTACTGCAAGACCAAAACCACGCAGTACCTGCACAGCAAAAGGGATGAAAACCCAGGGCTGTGCCATCTGCAATATGCTGGTTCAGAGGCTTTGGGGCTGGGCAAAGGGCAGCCACAGGGTTTCTGACCCTCCCTCCCCATGTCTCAACAAGGGGCACAGCAGCCTTTGGCCACAGTCACTCCCAGAAAGCAAAACTATTACCACAGGACCATTTGGAGACATGCTGATAAACACCACGTGACTCTAACATGGTTACCATCAAATGTCCTCTAAAAGTGGAACTCCTCAATCTGAAGTTGCATTCCCTACACTGGTCACATGGGCTTGTAAGGCTGTACCTACAAGCCTCTCATATTACCCAAGAGGCTTTTAAAGTATTAAGTATAGGAAACACATGCGACTCCCCAGTTAAAATACAGAGAGGTCAGTGCAGCCTTCACTCCATTTTCTTTACTCCACTCAGGTGGCAGGACACTATGCTAAAAGCCCTCTTAGAGTCACTGTGGTGCAAGACAAAGGAGCAGAACCTTAACCTTTCTGGGTAGATTCTGGAAATCACCAAACACTGGCCCCTCATTTTAGAGGGAGGCAGACTACGACTCTATGGAGGAAATGATTTCCTGCCCAAACTGGAGGAAATCCTGGGACCCCCTTTATTTTTAACTACAACGTGTTAGTACAGGTCCTCCAAAAACAGAAGTCAAGACAAGAAACTGCACAGAGAAGCCAGGGGAGGAAGGAGCTGGGAAGGAGTCTGAGTCTGCTGTCCCTGGCCAGGAGCAGCCTGGGAGCACAGGCTGTCTGTGAGTGTGGTGCTGGATGCCTGTGCAGAATCTGGAATGCAGCAGCCATGGCCACCTGGGTCAATTTCAGTTCCAAAGTAGAAGATCACAGAGGAGCACCCTTGTGGCTGTCATACCACGGCAGGTCACTATGATAACATTATACCCAAGACTTTTGATAATTAGATTTTCAGAGGAACAGAATCTACAGGACTTGGACTAGATGCAGGTGACCAGGGAAAGGTGCCACCTAAATAAATGAGAGAGGCAGGAAAAGCGGAAGCAGATGACACTGGAGAGGACAAGGACTGAGTGGGATGAATGGACTACAAAGTTAATCAACTCATTGTCTTAGTTCTGCTAACTTTATCTTCTGTACAGACCAAAAGTGTGTAACAACTCACACAACAGAAGTTACTTCCTACATCACACAAAAAGGACAGGCTAGAGTTTCTGATAACCTCAGGAACTCAGGAGCCTTACCTCCCCAGCCACTAGACATTTTCTGCTGGATTTTACACATCCAATTGGCAGTGAAGAGAAGAAAAACTGGGTAAGGAACACTTGTTTCGTAATTACTTCTGCAGAAGTGACACACATTCCCACCCAAGTTCTACCGGCAGGAAGTACCATGGGGCTCTGTTGCTGGTGGTGGCTGTACAAGTTTTCCAGCAGGAAGTCCCACAAAGCAGAAAAGAGCACAGAACTTGGTGGACACCTGGTCATCCCCACCACACTCCCCTTCCGTCTTAGTCTTGGGACACACTTATTTCAGAAGCAAGTATAGGGAACCAGGTCTCTTCTAAGCACAAAGCATCCTGGATTATCCAACCATTGAACAAAATTTCCTTATTGCCACACTGCCTTGGCATTAAAGACAAGTCTGTTCGCAACTAGACTTTCACTGACCAGTTAAAACATCGAGTAACTGTCCTTTGGTTGAAAAATGCCAAACTGAAACTATGAAGTTTGCACAGTGCATTCATGCCCATCAAGGCTAAAACGTCATCATATCGTGGACTGGTAGTATTTTATAAACCACTAAGAGCACCTTTGGTATATAGTAGTATTACAAACTCTTTTTTGGGGGGC